AGTGTACATGGATATAGTGAAGAGTGTGCGCAATGCCATTTTTGTGAAATTCTGGGATTTTTTTAAGTAAAAAATAAGTCGGCGTGTAACATGGTTTAGTGATATTTTTAATTAAATGATAGTTATTTTGTGAGTTTTATGTTTGTAGGAATTTGGTATACGTTTAAGTTGAAGTAAACATGCATGGAAATAATTTAAATATCTGACACTAAGTATTTGTAATGGTTGCAGTATGAATTCGTTGGTGATGTTTATAGTATAATAGATGATTTAGAGCTAAAAGTTTTTGGATATTTTATTTATTTTATATGTGGAAATGTTCATATTTGGAAAGGGTAAATACTTTTTCGCGATCAGGTAATTTCATATATGTTCTTTTTACCGGGTTTAAAGATTGAGAAAATTGTCATGTATTTTCGTGAAATTTTTCTAATTTATGAGAAAAAAAGCAGTGTACATGGATATAGTGAAGAGTGTGCGCAATGCCATTTTTGTGCAATTCTGGGATGTTTTTTTTTAAGTAAAAATAAGTCGGCGTGTACATGGTTTATGTGTATGTGTTATTTTGAAAAACGCGTAAGGAGTATGGTATTGTGCACTTTTTCCCAATTTTGCAGTGAATATTTGTCATGATTAAGCAGTTTTGTTAGATAAAATTTCTAGCATAAGTGTAATTCGGCTAGTAGATTGTTGGAAGAAGTGTTCAGTAGATAAAAAGAAAAGAAACATGTCTTTACTTCGTGAAGACAAAATGGCGGCGGGGAAAAAAATAGAGGGTTGCTGTAGGAGAGTTGGTCGCCAAATTTTCGCCAAAAAAACGCCAAGTTACCATAATGTAAAGATCAACGAGTCCTGCTTTTGCTGTTTGCATCCTGGTAACCCTATCCATGTGTGAAATCACTGAGAGAAATGACTTATAAAAAAGCTTTCTTTTTTAATCATCGTACTAACCTAGCATTTGGACACATGATATAAGGTGTTGGTGGATACTCATCTTGTTCATCTTTTGTCCACTTATCTGATTTATGCAAAATATCTTCAACCATTATAAACTGTTGTAAACAGTTTCAAAGGAATAACTGATACATAGAAACTTTAATATCACCACAGGTTGAAATTTAAAACTCATTATTGATATTAAAAATTTTATTTTTTCTGAATTTCGCATTATTAATTTTTATTGGAATCTGTATTAAAATTGATATCTGTTTGTATAAAAAAACACAAGAAACCTAATATGGGACGGTCATCCAGAAAATAAAGACTGTTTAGTTATACAAAATGCAATATTTATTTAAAAACACAATCCTGTTGCATATCTGAAACTTCCTTCACTTCTCTACATAATCACCACCTCCACTTAAGCGTTTGATCATATCTATTCATGAGCTTCTGAATTCCAAAGTTGCTCTTCTGCTATCAGACTTGAAGGCTGAAGTGAACAACAGAATCTTGCAAGACAAGTGCGTAGCTCCCGACAAATTGCACATTGTGTTTCCAGACATTTCTTGTTGTTTGCTTGTTGATATTATGTTGCAATTTCTTGGCTACAACAAGATTTCTGCATGCTGGGTTCTGCAGCAACTGAGTGACCAACACAAAACTTGGAAAATAGCTTAACATTGACATTCTTGACGTAGTGTCGCACAGATGGAGATGCCTTTCTTGATCAGATTGCGAATGGTGATGACACCTGGGTGTCTTGCATCACTCCAGATAGCCAAGCACCAATCATTTGAGTGGCATCATCCCACATCACCCAAACATTCGAGAAAATTGAAACACTCTCTCCACATGTCATGGCATCCATCTTTCTGGATTGTAAAGGTGTTCTTTTGGTGGATTTCATTTCAGAAGATTACGGACAATGCAAATAATTGATGGACAGTTACGATCAGAGCAAATTGTTATTGTGAGACTCCAAAGGAACTGCGACGAGCCATCCAAAACAGGAGTTGAAGAATGCTTTCTGCAGGAATAGTGCTTCATCATGGCATTGCCTGCCTTCGCACTGCTGCTGCAGCTCAAGAACTACTGGTTAAATATGGATGGGAAATTTTGAACATCTATCCTATAATCTGGACCTTACTTCTAGTGATTTCCACCTCTTCTCTAAGCTGAAACAGTTTTTGGGTGATAAACATGTTGGAGGTGATGAACAGTTGGAGAGAGCAGTCACCAGCTGGCTTAATGAACTGGCAGCAGAAAAGTATAACATGGGAATTTTGAAGCTCATGACCAGATACAACAAATGTTTAAATGTAGGAAGTGATTATGTACAAAGATGAAGGAAGCTTCAAGTATATAACAATTTTTCCTTTTCCAGTAAATATTGTATTTTTCATTTTTGCATAACTAAAAAGTCTTTGTTTTCTAGATGACCTTCATATTATATATATATCTATATATTTATTTTTGGTTTACTGGAAAGTTCTGCCCATTTTTGGAATAAAACAAAATGCAAATTTTTCTTACCATCAATAAACTTCATTAACCTCTTCGTCGTCCGTAACGCCTCTAGCGCGTTCAAGTGAAACTTCCGCAGGGTGGCCGTAACGCGCCACAAGCATACGTTTTTAAACGTTTAAAACGCTTTCTAAAAGTTTACTTGTTTGAGTTTCTATTTTTGTTTGCTCTAATACCTCTTAGAGGGCAGCACTAATCAGGCATTCTATTTCTAATTGAATTTGCCCCAGGTTTTATGAATATTCATGCCATTTTACCTAAGATACAAGACAGTGAGAGATGGCTTCAACGTCTATGCAGCAGAAAAAGAGAAAAAAATGAGGTTGTGAATTGGAAAGACAAGAAGGATGTACGTTTGATGAGTACAGTCCATAATAACTCAATGAATGATGTTGGAACACGGAAAATAACTGTAAAAAAACAGTAATTGTAAAAGATTACAACAATAAAATGGGAGGAGTGAACTGCTTGGAACAGATGTTATCAAATTATCCTGCTGTTAGAAATAAGCAGAGATATTATTTTTCCATTATGCTTTATTTCTATATAATTTTACTTAATATTCATTGACATTCATCCACTACGAAAGTTATGTATGGATAGTTACGATGTACAGAGAAAACAACATTACACGTTACGAAAAACAGACGGCCGCTGGGGAGAAATTTTCGTGGTCAGGAGAGGACGGCGAAAGGGTTAAATAATATAATTTCCAATATTATTAATGATTTCTTGCCAGCGTGAAGGCAATTTGTATATCCCATTTTTGAAAAATATATCTTTTGATGCAAAAAATTGAACCAGTACTTGTTTGATATTTTCTTTTTTGAATTTTTTGCTCTTCAAAAAATTTGTAAGGACAAAAACAAGTGATATTTGGTGGGTGAATATGGTGGATGAGACAGAATTTCCCAGCCTAGTTCTGAAATTTTTTGATGAGTCCCCAAAGCAGCAGCATGTGGTCTGGCATTATCATGATGCTGTATGTTATCCTTTCTATTGAACATCGCCGGCCTTAGACTGCTGTCTTTAAATTATCCAGTTGCTGACAATACTTCTCCGAATTGAGCTTTTCGTTAGGTTTTAAAAGCTTGTAATGTATTGGTCCTCGAGTGTTCCACCATATACACAACATTCTCTTATTCATAGTCAAATTTGGTTTAGAGTTTGAAGGGCTAAGTTTGCCAGGTTCACAATATGCCCTTTTCCGTGTGATGTTTTCACAGGTAATCCACTTTTCATCCCCAATTTCACCCGGTTCAAGAAGGGCTTGATTTTATTCCGAGCAAGCAGAGATGTGCATATGACGACTCGATTATCCAAATTCTTCTGACTTAATAACACCCATGTTGAATATTTCCATGACAATCTTATCATCTGAATATGGTCCAAAATGGTTTATTGAGCTGAATTAAGCCTTTCTGCAATCTTTGATGTTGTCAGAAAAGGATCTTGCTGCAACATGGTCTTAACAACATCGTCTTCGATCAAAGGTAGTCACCCAGAACGTGGCTTATCAGAAAGGTCGAAATCATCTGTTTCCAATTTTTTTAACCATCTTCTGCATATCCTATCAGAAACTGTACCTTCATCAAACATTTTCAATAAATTTCTACGTGCTTCTGTAGCATTTCTTCCTTGTTGAAATTCGTATAAAATACAGTGGCATACTTCTGTGTTAAAACTTTCTGTGTTCATTTAATAAATGAACAGAACTTTCTGGTAGACCGAATATTTATATATGTTTAAAAGAGGAATGTGCTGTAATGATATACAATATACTTCAATACTCAAATAAGCATGTTATTTACTTTCAAAACACATATATGTGAAAAATTAATTTTGAAAATATAAGATGTTTCTGACAAGGTAAATATCTCATTTTAAACGAAACATATATTCATATAATCTCAAACTTCCTGTCCAGTTCGCGATATATGAATCCATGCTGTTACCAGTCCTGTTACATTCTTTATGTTTACTACCTTGTTTTATATTTTTCAAACTCGGAAAACAATTAACCATAACTCGTGTTCCTTGCAAGCATGGGATTTACTCTGGAGTACATAACAAAAAGTGTAATCTTTATTTCTTTTTAAGCTCTGCATAATATGCACTGCAAGCAACAAATAATTAATATCTATATGTACAGCATAATATTGACAGACAGACAATTGTTCATTATGTTTCCACTTTTCAGCCACTATGATTTTATTAACTGCTTTCTTTTATAGTGTAGAAATTTCAATGGCAGCAGTGTAGTTTTAATTATCAAGGTGTTATTTTTTTTTTACATAATTTAGAATTTTTAATATTGCTGTATAATATAAAGATATAGCAAAGTTTTTTTTTTTTTTTTTTAGGCCAAAAAATGTCAATTGAATTAAAAAAATTATGCATTTATATAAAATTTAGTAAATATATTGTGACAATTTAAATGCTTCTTTTATTAATGTGTATGAATTTTATTTAAATTATTTTGGCATTTATAATATAAAATATGTGTAACTTTAATAAAACCTCTTTTTTATTAGGCTAGGAATAAAGAAAATGGAAAATTAGCTGCAGCTAAAATTTGTGAATTGAAAGGAGAAGATGATTTGGAAGATTTTACTGTTGAAATTGATATATTATCAGAGTGCAAACATAAGAATATTGTAGAACTTCTAGAAGCATTTTTTTGTGAAGGAAAACTATGGGTAAGATTCTTGTTATAATTTATTAAAAAATTTCTTTTAGCTTTGAAATAAAATGTTAATTAACTGTAAATGTTAAAAATTACGAAAGGAAAAGATTGATGCCTTTCTTTTGTATGTAAATTAGAAAAAAAAAAAAAAAAACTGTATTGTGTAATATTTTTAATTAAATTTGCATTTACTGAATAAAATACTTTTTAATACTTTTAACATTTATTAGCAAACTTTTTTAATATTTTAGTAAAGGGATAGTATTTGGCATTGTATTTTCAATAACTTTCTGCATCTTGTAGTTTTCTTTGACTTACCATGAAATATTTTTTTTTTACATATTTTATTACCCTTATGTTTTCTGACTCAAACTTCTGTAGTCTTTATTTATTTATGAGAGTAGAGTTTGTGTAGATATCTGACTTTTTTATGATTGTGCTGTCTTTTAAAATTAAAAAATCCAGATGTGTTATACAACATTGGAAACTATTACAGTATAAAATCTGAACAGATCACTCTGGATTTAGATCATCAAAAACCAGGGGCGTAGCTAGAGGGGGGCATCTGTCCCCGGGCGCAGAATCCAAGGGGCACCAAACTGATGTTACGACATTTTAGAATTAAATGTTTTCCATCCTTGGCAAGCAGTAGGGAGTGCGAAATCTTCAGTTGTCCCTGGGCGCTGAAAACCCTAGGTACGACTATGTCAAAAACATTTGTTTTGAAAATTTTTCCTGTTTTCACATTGTAGGAACAGGTAATATAATACTCAAGCAAAAGCAAATTATAAATGGACTTTTGTTCTTACTAGCTGAGTACTCCCCAGAAAATATCATTATCTATGATAATACTGAATCATCCAGTATACTTCATCTTTAAACATTTGCTGGGGTAGTGAATGCATTTTCATTTTTGGCTCTCAAATGGTTGTTGGGGGGGTGCAGCATTTTTGTATCCTATTGAGTCCTGCACACAATAAGTGAAACCCAAACACTAGTTTATTTGAAGTTGAACATTGTACCAGAACATAGGCACTTAGCTGATAGGACTAAACAACATCTTTAGCTGATAGCATGCATGGTATGTTTTAGTAAAATTTGACCATATTTATCAGACAAAAGGCCTTTTCCAGAGTATGCAATGAGAAGGTTTATGGACAAAGTCCCATATTTTTCTCTTTATTTAATGCTATACAAAATATAGATTTTAAAATTAGACTGAAAAGCAACCTTAGGTTAGCATAGATTTTGAAATCGTGTTGAGAGTGATCAGACATAGTCTCTGTTTCAGTAGGGAGAATGAAAAATTTAGCACAGGGAAGTGATTTTATATGGAAAATAATGGGTGGAACAAAGTAGTAACAGAGGTGGCATGATCTGTTGTGGAAAATAGTAATGAAATGTGAAAAAGCTAACATGTTAGAATTTAGCAAGGCAATGCAATGAGCTAATGTAGAAAACTGATTTTATTAAATCATGGAAAAAATTTTTTAATGTGAAATGATTTTTGTAGGGAGTCGTAGAAATCCATTTTACTAACCGAAGACGTTTTACAGATAATTTTTGCAGATCTAGAGTCAAAGTTATGATTAAGTGTTCAGTATTTATTAACTATCAAAAATTTGTTTATTACTTCTTTTTGATCATATAATTCATGCTCTATACAAAGAAATTTCAATGCTCTTTCAATTTGGATAATATATGTCAAAACACAATTAATGTGTATGTTAAAATTCTTCAAGAACTAAAATCAGAGATTAAATCGTTAAGAATTGAGCAATGAATTTTATTGATAAAGTTGAACTTAAGGAAAATCCGATAATTGATAGAAAAATTAAATAGATTTTGGATTAATCTGGACCAATTTTAATAAACCAATGCTGCAGGTTTTTGTCTAAATGTGCATGTTTCAACTAAATATATTGTGAGCTAAATGTATATATTGGCTAAATGCTGTTGGATGTGTCAGTAAATGTCCTTTCAGCTAATTATCATGGTCCCATGTTGCATATACTGGTTTCGTTTTGTTTACGTAGTAGGTAAAATAACGTTCTGTTTAATTTAAGCTCAATTAACACTGCTAGTTATGCTTTTCCTTAAATTTCTTATTTGACCCAGTTTATTATTTTGCTTGATCTATTATTATTGCAGTATTATCAAAATTAAAGTTTTATTAAAAATTAACATGTCGGTTTTACTCTACTTTTGAAACTTTATATATATCAGCCAGCCTATCACAAATCTATGTGGCAGTAAGGCCATCCTACAGTTCTTGAAATATCTTAATATAAAATCTGCTATCTAGAGCATTGCTAGGCCATGAGAGAATAAGTTAGCATATATTTAAAAAAATATACTTGCATAGGCCTTGGGTGATCGTTGTTTTCACAAGCAACAAATAAAGATACATTTCACTTTGAATTATGAATGCTTTGTTTATATGGGATGCTGTTCATACTAATTTCCCAGATCACCAAAAATGAAGCTGCTGGAATATATGAAACATGTTTTTAAAAGTTGGCAAGCAAGGCTGTGAAGTGCCTCTGATGATGTTATATCATGCATATATTGTAAACTGGTGTTATGAGTTATTGTATTTAAGAAGTGTTCTTTTAGTTATTATTTATATTTTAAATATTTTTTAATTTAATATTTATTTATTTTTAGATTTTGATTGAATTTTGTGAAGGAGGTGCAGTGGACACAATTATGGTAGATCTAGAAAAACCTTTGACAGAACCTCAAATTCGGTACCTTTGCCGGGAAGTTTGCGAAGGTCTTCAATTTCTACATGAAAACCGAATTATTCACCGTGATCTAAAAGCTGGCAATATACTTCTGACATTGGATGGAGGCGTCAAATTAGGTAAGAATATCTGCGTAAATGAGCGTTACAAAATAATCTAAATATTTCTTACTGTTAATTATTTCTCTAAATATATATTTAATTATTGTTTGTAATGTTATAGATTTAATGTAAATATCAGCTTGTAAATTTAAATTAGTTGAATTAAGTCAAAAAGTATGTTAAAGATGTTCCAAATAAAATTATGCAGCATAATGAAGAATTGCATCTTTAATATTGAGATGCATGGAAATAATTTAAAGATTCCTGAAAATGCAGTTTAGGAATGTTTGAAAAGCTCTGTTTGTTTCATGAAATTTTGTATAAGTTCCAAGCTTTAATGGTGGTTACATTTTAACAATGATAGAAAAGTTTGGTACTTATATATTATCTCATCAACTGTGAAACAACTGTGTTGCTAAACAGTGCAGTTTAGTGCTAATTATGGATAAGCATGATGTAACAGCACCCTCATTTCATCTGCACTTTCTTTTGGTGCAACCCTGATTGATTCTCGATGAGCTGTCTGTGGTTTTTATGAACATGGATTTTTAAGTTAATTTTTATTGCGGTATTTTTCTTGCATTAAAAACATAATTAAAATTTTGGGCCGACCATCTAAAAAATAGCAAGCAGCTGGTTATTTTCAAAGTTATAGATCCATGTCACCAGAAAAGTGTTTATCAATGGACATGATATCTTAGTAAAAGTATAATTCAGGCAATTTTTTATCACCATTCTCGTTTATGTCAATACTCTCTCCAGTAAAATGGCATCCAAAACATAATTAAAACAAAAAATATGCAATTTCAATAAACTGCATTTTAAATCAAACAAGGAAATAACATAAGAATGGAAATACATGTTATCTAATCTCCTCAGTACAGAAAAGGAAATATTGACTTACCTTATTTAAAAATTTCTGTTTCTTTGGTATGTGTGACACACAGAATTCCTTAACAGCATCCAAAAATTATTTAAAATTATCTAAACTAGAATCTATATACTGCCGTGGCCACATAAATTCACAAAAGTAAAAATCAAAAATATCCTCCATACTGCCGGACTATCAGTGGTATTTCTAACTTGCTGAAAACTGAACGAAGCCATTTAAATCTTCATTCAAACACCAGTCAATTAATCCTTTTTCCTCATTCATTCCAAACTGTACAGGAACTTCAGATTAATCTTATCACAGGCAACCAATTTATGGAATACATCCCAAAGTAGGGAATGTACTTCACACCTGACATCCAATGCAGAAATAAGCGCTGAGAAATCAAAATCACTGCGATGACACATTGCAACCAATCATGTCAAGTATTAAATTTTCCGTGTAAGATTGTTAGGCAGGCAGATTCAGCCGTGTACAAATACGCCAATTCGCTGGCCAGTTGCTTCATTTGTGGCACAGAAAACTTAATAGGATTCCATACCCAACCAAATATCGGCTTGTATAAGGTGCCAGGGGTAGCTTTGCCACCTACTGATTTTCACATTCTTTGTAGTGCTACTCATAAATAAAATACTTTTTTTGTCACAGTTTTTTGATCATTTGTTTATCTACTTGAACACTATACTATCGCCGAGTTTCGTAATTGTGGCTCAATTCTTTCTGTGTTCATACTTTTTATTTTTTAGTAACAGACAACGTATTGGACCATCTGGAATAGGTTTATAGAAAATGATTTAAAATTTTCCATGTAAGATTTGTTTTAAAATAATATGTAAAATCTACAAAATCATAAAGTTATGGGAATTACTCCTTAATTAAATAATGGAAACTGTGTTCTTTCATTGGCATTCAAGAGGCAGTTTTTCATATTGCAGATAGCATCTGTGAACTTTTTTCAACATTTTTTGGAGCAAGTAGCTTTTTTTGCGTGTTAGTGTAGTGAGCATTGCCACAGAATAACTATGAAATTATGTTTCAAATAAGAAAAACCACTGCAGAAATCCACCAAATGGTAGTTGCTGAGTTATTAAGTTGCACCAACCTCCATATAGTCTTGATTATGCTTTACCACATTTCTTTCTCTGCCTTCAAACTGGAGTCTGTACTGAAAGAATACATGTTTTGTGCATCCAAGCTGCTGTGATGAGGGAACTAAAAGCATTATGGATCGAGAATGCCTTTTAAAATGTTTTTAATAGTTTTATGAAAATTTTCAGAAGTGCTATGTATCAAAAGAAGATTACTTTGAAGTCCAGTGAGGTATACTACGCTGTGAAAATTCATTGAACTTATCAGTTTAAAAAAAGTGTAAACAATACCCGCCTCCCCCATATTTAAGTAATTCAGCTAATGCAAACTGTATTCGAGCTGTTTGATGTGGAGGCAGAATAATAAATTCTGATTCCACATACTAAAGAAAACTAAATGATTTATTTTTATATGAAGGCTTCATTACAATAAAAATTCTGTTATCTGATTAGGCAGTTTTTTATTATTTTAGCTGACTTTGGAGTATCTGCAAAAAATAAGCATACACTTCAGAAAAGAGATTCTTTTATCGGAACTCCATATTGGTAAGAAAGTTTCATTTCCTTTTTCATGATTAGTTGTCAGTATGTTAATTAGAATAAGAAATAATCTCTTTCTCTCTTCTTTTTTGTTTTTTAACTTATAGTATTGTATCAGTAAATTATACATGGAAAGTAAATGGTATTAATTGCAAATTCTTTTAGGATGGCTCCTGAAGTTGTTCTATGTGAAACATTCAGAGATAATCCATATGATTATAAGGCTGATATTTGGAGTTTAGGTATAACATTAATTGAACTTGCTGAAATGGATCCACCTAATCATGAAATGACTCCTATGCGTGTGCTGCTCAAAATTCAGAAACAAGATCCGCCAACACTAAGCCAGCCATCTAAATGGTATTTCTAAATAACTAATTTATCTTGTTTGTATATATGTATGTATAATTTTGAAAATAATCAGGTATCAAGAATATTTGTAGGTTATCAAAGCAAGTTCATTGTAAATACTATCTTTACGGTTATTGTGTTGCATTATTTGGCTCTTAAGCTATCAGCCACAATTCACTATAATTGCTTGAATCGGTGATTATCATTTTTAATGGATATTTTGATGGGAGTATGTGATTTTCAACATAAAGACATTTTATGCACGTTTTCATTGCTTGTTAATGTCGAAAGTTAGTAATGCCAGGTTTTAGTTTCTGGTCAGTTGCCAGATGAGATTAAATTCCTAAGGAACAGCTAGAGCTTGGAACATCAGGATATGAGAGAAAAGAATAATCAAAAGATTTAAACTAAGAAAAAAAAGTATTGCATATCTTGTAGCGTCTTTTAAAGGGATTGGTGCCATAAAGAAATGTAACAAAATAACCATATATATGAACTGCGTGATGAACAGTACAATAATGCTAAAAATTAAAACAGCAGGTTTCTGTAATTTTGCTTTTAAAGTAACTAATCATCCTGTAAAGATCTTATTCCTACATTATTAGAATAAAAGAAACAAGTACATAGTGTGAATCTAATCAAAATAGTCTGGTAAACAAGCTTAACTTAAAAACAAAATATCTTATTAAACAAATTAAATAGATGTACTTCAAGGGATTAATAATTAAAGAAAATGGCACAAAAGAAATCAATTGAGAGCACAAAAGTAATCAGGAAAATAATAAGAAACTGCAGTATTATAATCAAATCAAAAGGCAGAATTTTAAGAACTGTAATTATTGTAGGAATAATTGTTTTGAAATAAAATAAAATATAAAATTCAAAACTTAAATTAACCCTTTCGCCGTCGTCTTCTGTCCGCGAAAATTTTCCCCAGTGGCCGTCTGTTTTTCGTAGTGTGTAATGTTTTCTTCTCTGTACATCATAACTTTCCATACATGACCATATGTAGTGGATGGATTTTAATGAATATTAAGTAAAATTATAAGAAAATAAAGCATAATGGAAAAATAATAATATTTCTGCTTATTTCTAACTGCAGGATAATTTGATAACATCTGATCCAGGTGGTCCACTCCTCCCATTTTGTTGTTGTAATCTTTTACAATTATTGGTTTTTACATTCTTTTCCGTGTTCCAATAAATCATCGAGTTATTATGGTCTGTACGCATCAAATTATTCCTTTTGCTTTCCATCACACCTCATTTTTTCTCTTTTTCTGCTGAGTAGACGTTGAAGTCATCTCTCACTGTTTTTTATCTTATGTAAAATGGCGCGAATATTCATAACACCCGGGGGCAAATTCAATTAGAAATAGAATGCCTGATTAGTGCGACCCTCTAGGAGGTATTGGAACAAAAAATATAAACTCAAACAAGTAAACATTTAGAAAGCATTTTAAACGTTTAAAAATTTTAAAATGTAGAAGAATGCTTGAGATCCGTTACGGCCGTCCTGCGGAAGTTTCACTTGAACGCGCTAGATGCGTTACGGATGACGGAGAGGTTAATGTAGTTATTTAATTTCCGAGTTTTTCATTTAAACTGTATGTACGGTACATAAATTAAGGAAATAATAAAATTAATATATAAGAGAAAATTGAGAAAGGAAAAGTAGCATAAAAAACTGTGTAATACCTTGCTTGAACCAAAGTTTCATAAGGCTGCTGAAATGAAAATAAAAGCTTTTATGTGAAAAAAAGTCTATACATGTTGAAATTTATATGTGACAGTTCAACCAAATATATTGTCTAACTGCAACATATGTAACCTTTCAAAGCTGACAACCAATGTGTGCTTTGTCATAAACTGCTTATCTACTGTACTAGACATAAAATGTATAGTATTTTTTACTGAATAATTGCAAGATATTTTTAGTATTGCTAAACAGATGTTTATATGTTGTAAAATGATTTTAAATTTGTCTCCTTTTTTTTAAAATTATTATATTTTGCTATGTATGTTTTGCAGGTCAAAACAGTTTAATGATTTTTTAACAAAATGTCTAATAAAAGATCCACAAAAGAGGGCTTCTGCAAAAGAATTATTAGAGGTATGGATGTTCTTAAAATGTCATCAGAAATTATCAATAATTTATTTTCATGAAAAATTTTACCAGAATTTATGATGAGTAAAGATTAAATAATATTTTCAGGGTTTGTACGGTCCGTAAGAGTCTTTAAAAGTCCTTAGATTTTTTGGAATCGATTTTTGGTCCCTCCTTACTTTGGGCCAAAATCGCAGAAGGTCCTAATTTTATCATCTGAAATTTGTCTCGTTTTACGACTGCCATTTGAGTAATAGCATTTTGGAGAATATTTTGCCAGTTCACTCCCTATATGGATTCTTTTGAATGGTTATGGGTTTAAATGTTTCATTTCTAATATAATGATGGATACTCGATTTTCAAGCAAAGAAAGCATTTCTAATAAGGCTCTTTAAACAACTTTTCGTTTTGGGAATTTTATTAAACAGTTAAAATATGTTTTAAGTTCAGTTCATGGAAAACTTTTTATTCCTAGACTGAGAATTTTTTGATGATATTTTTTAAAACATCGTAACATGATAATTTCATTAAAACTAGAATATATTGAATTATATTAAAAAAATATTAAAATAAAACAATTTTTCGCTCATATTAAAAGTTCAGGCACTTATTATACAATTTTGAATCGGGGAAATAAAAAGGGTATAATGCTATAAAGCCAATTTATGAAAACAGCTCTTAGCAAAAGCAAAATTAGGCTTTTTCCCATGTTAATTGTCTCAAATATTCAAAATTCTAGGAATATACATCCTTTTTATACCTTTTTCCCTCCCCCCTTTTTTTTCAAAATTTCGGCTTTTTGCTTTACAGAATTGTAGGATATTTTTCCATAGGATTTTAGACTTGACTTGGAAAGTTAGAGGATTGAAGCAAGATTAAGACCCATTCTAGAAGATTCAAAATATATGACAAAATGCAAAATGTCTCCATGGTATCAACAGCAATGGATGTTTTTACAGAAATTTTCATTGAATTTCTTACTTTTTGGAGAACATCTGGAAGAACAAAACATAATATCTGAATGCTTTACTTCTGATACTAGAATCTTAACATGTTTATCTTCCTTTAGTTTCTCTACTGCACTAACAAAGTAGAAAAATATAAAAATGCTTTAATCTTATCACAGGGCAGGCATTATAGAAAGGATTTTTATTAATAAAAGAATTGAAAACTTAAAATTTAAAGATTCATCTAATATTTCTTATGATCTACACATAGATGGACTAACATTTTCCACCTGATGCAATTGCTGTAATTCTAAATTCTGCTGTTAAGCCTTTCTAAATTCGCTTCCAATGCTGATCTAAATTCTAAAGTTTTTGCCATTTCTAGATTAGTTGTTCGGTGTGTCCTAATTCTAAAATTTGCCATCAGCTCTGTAACAACCTTACCATATAATTTCATATTTATTCTGAAGTTCATATTACTAAAGATAATTTTAGTTGCTTTTCCTGTACATTCTAAATGCATTAGTGTTTTTTGATAAACAAAATCCTTAATTCAATCCAAAAATTAAAATAAAAGGAAACTTGAAGAAAGGAACGAATACTAAAGAAAATTATCTTCAAAGATTTGCATTATTCTATGTAAATTACCAATTTGTTTGATAGTCAGCCATTACTATAATTTCCCATTTCTATTCCTCATATGATAGAGGATGAGCCAGATTAAATTAAAATTAAATTGTATAATCTTTGATGTCCACATTTTTAGCTTGAATTTGTCTGTTCTTGTTTAATTACATCGCCACCAGCTGCAGTTGATTTTGTTAGCATAAGAACATGTCCTAATGTTCTAAGTTCTTTTTATAAATATATAATAGGCTTATTTAAA